GAAAATATTTGTTGATGTCTTATTAAATCATCTGGTTATTGTGGCTGAGGCTGTGGATTTGCTCTTGCATGAATAGTTTAGGTCTTCTCTGTAGCCAATTATCTTTCTAAATCATATCTTGGACACAAAGAAGCAGGATGAGAAAAAGTTAAATAAAACCATGCAAAATCAGAGGTGCAAGATTACCCATGCAAGATTAGATTTGGGGAAAATAACCCAAAGTACATTGTTGTGATGAAGCTATTACCCAAGTGCTAAGTGTACCTTTAGAAATTCTATCCATTAGTCTAAGGATGAGGAGTTAATCAGCATCATTTCTCTCTGTTACTCTTCTTCCCACAACTGTCCCCTTCTCTCTCTTCCTAAGTCCATGTCTCATATCTATAGCAATAGACACCGGTATGTGACATAGAGCTTTCTGGACTTTTGTATACAAGCAAAAGGAGATAGCATTTTAAAGAATGAAGTTATGTTTGAAACTGGTATACAGGTCCCTCATAAGCCATTTCGGTCACCCAGACAGTGTGACCTGCCATCATGAAGCTTCTTTGAAAACAGAGGACAGTAGTACCCATATTCATCAAACTAGGACTTCAGCTACTATCGGCCCTTGGACTGCATGTGTAGAACTGAGCCTGTATGACCCTCAAATATTTTTGGTCAGATTAGCAAAACATATACTTTTTGGTGTGCTGCAGAATTTAATAATTAGTTTATGTGTGCCATGAGATGAAAAAGGTTGAAAATCACTACTCTAGTGAGTCAGTCCTGCCTCATTGCCATGGTCAAGGGGATTCAGTTTATGAGTTCATGCCAATCCCAGGAGTGACTATCAGATGGCAGCATCTAGCTAGCTGGTGTTGGTGAGTGATTCCCACTTCCAATCCTACCCTATTCCACCCATGATTAAACTCTGTTGCTAGAGAGAAGCAACTCTGAACATAAATGTCTTTAATATCCTGAATATTTGGGGAGTGGCAAGAGAGAGGGAATAGAAGATGTGGAAAAAGCAGTGATTTTAGACTCCGATAGGTCTTGGTTCCTTCCTTTCCTCAGTCAACAGAAGCAATGTTCAGACACTATATGGAAATGCTTTCTTTGTTGTGCTCTGAAGGTTTTTGTTTAGTTTTGTGTTTTTTTTAAAAAAACTCTATTAAACATATGCTTATTTTACACTGCCGAAAATGCCAACAAAATGATTCTGCAACTAGAGTGGACAGCAAACTAACAACAGCTATTGAGAAGAAAGACACAGCCTGAAGGATACATGCATGATGATTAATTATATCACCAGGGCCTAGTTTTTACGTTGTGCATAGAAACAGCAAGGAAAGAAGTCACAGCCTGAGTCCTTTTTTGTGGAGATTGTGCTGTTGAGATTTATTTTTTAAATTTCTTTTATCAGTCAATTCCACAAGCCTGGGAAACACCTTTATTCCCTATACCCATATCATTTCATTCATTCATTAGTTCCCTTGTTTTGTTTATTAGTTCACTCAACATATATTTACTATTTTCAGAGCACTTTGCCTGGATACTACATTTTTACTTTTTAAAATAGGATTTATATGTGTGTGTTTTTTAAAAAAAACAAACTCAATTTTAATATCATTAAAAGAATGCCAACGGATGAAAAAGGTATAGGAATTAAAAAGTACAAATGACCAGTTTTAAAAATAGCCACGGGAATGCCAACTTAGCATAGGGAATACAGTCAATAGCATTGTCATAACAACGTATGGTGTCAGATGCGTGCTAGACTTTTGGGTGATCACTTCATAAGGTATATAAATGTGTCATCACTGTGTGGTACACCTGAAACTAATATAGTATATGTCAATTGTAATAGAAAATATTTTTAATTTAAAAAAATAATAGACATATGAGAGGAAAGGCTAACCCTAAACGTTACTCTATTCTTTTCCCACACCTTCCTCAATTCCCAGATATCAGGAATTAAAATCAGTTTACAAACTCTCATTGGCATATCCTGTCTGTCCAATCCTTTGGGAATCAGAGTCTCCAGGGAACCAAACACTCTCCTAAGATCACATGACTAGAGAATTTCCTCAAGAGACAGACAACTGTAGTTTCATTTAGATCTGCCTTTTCTCCCTTTTCACACCCTGACCATAAAGGACACATACATTTGGACATCTAGCCCGTCAGTCTCTGCCGTGAGTCATTTACTGGCTACAGCACCATCTCTCTATAAAAGCAAAAAGCTCTTGCTTGCAAAGAAATCATGTTTGAAAACTTTTTACTCTTGGGGAAGCAGTGATGAGAAAAGTTGTGAGCAGAAAAGTGGGAGGAAAGAGTAGACTATAGAGTTGAGGAAATATCAACTTGCCATTCTCCACACCTCTCTCTGGTGCCCATTTGTTACCTTCCTTTCTCCTACCTCTTGGTTTCTCCCCAGGCGCCTCCAAGGCAGTGATGGCTCTCCAGAAGATCCTTTTATCGCTTCTGCTCTCGCTGCTGACCCTGCTGGGGCTGGGGCTGGTGCAGCCCTCCTATGGCGAGACCAGATATAAAAAATTCCAGCGGCAACATGTGGACTCTAGAGGGCCAGGAGGCACCAACTTGTACTGCAACACTATGATGCACAAACAGGGGATGACTAGGCCGACGTGCAAGGAATTCAACACCTTCATCCACGAAAACATCGGGACCATTAATAACATCTGCAACGCCCCCAATATCCAGTGCAAGAATGGCAAAGAGAACTGCCATGCGGGTGTAGTGAGAGTCACAGACTGCAATGATACAAAAAGTTCCCCGCCCCCCAACTGCTCATACAAGGCCACTGCCAGCACTAGGCGTGTTGTCATTGCCTGTGAGGGTAACCCCCTGGTGCCTGTGCACCTTGACAGGTAGATGCTACCCTGACCTTTTACTTATTCCTTGAATAGCCATGAGTAATGCATTTAAGCTCTCTCAGGCTCTGCCTCCTCTGCTTATTACTCCCTTTTCTCTATATAATCCATTCTGTTAAATGCATCAAAGAGAAATGGAGACATAAACCTATAATGGGACTGGGCTTTTCTGTAAGAAAAATTTCTACAAACTCTTCTGTTTCCTTTAATAATACTGGTCCGCTTAGCTCTCTCAGATCCTATCTTCTGGAATTTAGTTACTATGTATATGATATAGCATTACAAGTATTTTAAGGTGCTTCCATCTCAGTTATCTCATTTTAATACCACCGCACCCCTGTGATGCTGATGTGGCTACATATAGGGCCCAAAGTTAAAGGATTTGCTGAAGATCATGAAGTTAGTAGAAAAACTGAAGCAAAAAATCCACTTCAACTGGCTACTAATCCAGGACTTTTTCTACTTCATCATAAGGAGTGTTTTGAAAGCA